AAACTTACAGATACTTATGAACTTACAATGAGTCATTTTCCCCTAGGTTTTCAACCACAATTCGCACGCGTCACCAATATGACATCTCTCAATCATGATGGTTGTACTAAGTGTAACATAGATTCAATATTGCTCATGCGAAAACTTTATGTGATAGTTTTTTTAGTAATTGTTTACTTTTTCCACTTTTTTCCATATGAATAGGAACTATTGCGGGGTGAGTTTAAGTGTTTATTGCCTGATCATAAAAGCGGCATATTTGATCTTGTGCTACAGAGGGGAAATAGAAACAGAAGGATGTGAATGAGATAAGTTTCGTACTAGGTATGCAGCGAATTTATTACCCGATCATAAAAGCGGTGTGTTTGATCAAGTGCTATAGAGAGTACTGAATGATAAATGCAGGGGAGCAAAGATTTAGAAGGAAAGAAAGATGAAAGTGGAAGTTTATGGTTCGGCATATTTAAAAGTCGGTGGATAAAATCAAATCAAAGTGGTAAAAAGTGGAATGGTTTTTATAATTTTTCAAAGAAAAAGTGGGGTGGTGGGAGTAATTTTCGCTTTATATAGAGATTTTAGTTTTGTAGTGAAATCAGTAATATTTGAAGTTTTCAAGACTGAGTATCTTATGCAGGAGTTGGTGAAAAAGTGATCCTTATATCTTTAAATGTGCATATTAATGCGAGTAAAAGAGACAACTGTATAGATTTCACATACTCCTTAAACAAAAAAATATTCAAAATTTCAGCACTATCAACATTTAAAAGTGGATGCACTTTCAAATGGATGAGATCGGTGAACACTTAACAATTGATAGACATTTTTTAATTGAATAATTTAGCATATACAAATTAAAATATAAAAAATGTATTCTAATTTTTGAAATATATCAATAACATAAATAAAGTTTAAACGAAAAAAATAGTTTCAATCAAATATAGATCTACCTCTCCCTCCCACCATTCTCTCTCTCTCTCTCTCTCTCTCCGCTGTCATTCAGACGCTCTCTAATGTACTACCTCTGTCTGTCTCTCGGTCTCTCTCTATCTCTCTCATACGCACTTTCTCTCTCTCTCTCTCTCTCTCTCTCTCTCCTCATCTCAAACACACACATACACACATACACTCTCATACTCTTTCTCTCTCTATCTCTTGCAAAAGGTTGAAAGCCGATTCTGAAACAGGGAATCAAAATGATATCATTTTAATTTCCTGTTTCAGAACCGGCTTTTTCTCTCTACTTCCGAGCATGGCACCGATCCAGTTTTGGATCACTTGGTTTGCACCCATATCTTTGACACTTCTATTTATGGCATCGAATGATACATTATCGAAGGCACCTTCGATGTCCATAAAAGTTGTGATCATAAATTCCTTATCCAAGAGTGTTTTCTCAGCCATCGATACTATTTTGTGGAGTGCTGTCTCGGTCGATTTGCCCTACTGAAAAGCATGTTGGCTCTCGTGCAGGTGGCCCGATGCATCCAAAATCTCTCTCAGATGTCTTTCAATCAATCTTTCTAATCCCTTTAATAGAAATGATGAGAGACTGATTGGTCTGAAAGATTTCGGTGATGTATTTTTCCTATTTTAGGAATAAATGTTAGTTTCACATTTTGCCATGAGCTTGGGACGTGACCCAGGATAATCGAAGACTTTTATAAAGATACAATTAAATCCTCAATTATGTTCCATGTTCGAATCTTGTGTTGCTTTTGGCACCCTCAATTTTGCTGAAGTATCTCTTTTCAGAGTCTTTTTTGGCCTCGAGAATTTCTTTGGCGTATTTGTTCCTGCTCTTCCGCCACAATTCGTGGCAGATAGGGCCTTGAGGTGTATCCTTCCTAGCTAAGTATATTCTAAGTAGCCGTCTGGATTCCTTTCGTAGCCTCTGCAGGTCCCTATTTTACCAATTATTGCTTTTAATCCTCATCTCACGCTCAGGACACATCAATCGGTACGAGGTTTTTAGTAGATTCGTTAACATCTCAGTTGTACGATCCAAACGATCTCTAGATGAGATGTCAAGACACATTCTTCTAATTGCCACAGATCCACTTCTAACCTCTCTTCGAAATCCGTCCCAGTTTGTACTTCTAGGATTCCTAAATTTGTCCTGTGCTCTGGGAGCACAGATTAATTGGAAGCGAATTTCTCTGTGATCAGAAAGCCTGTCTTTCTTAGGTACTGATGCCAAAGTGATGTCAAGAACTTCTGATCTATTTCTTGTAACAAAAGTCGGTTCAAGACCTCTGTTTAGAATGAATAGATCCGTTGTTGCAACATACTCCAGAAGTAATTCACCTCTACGGTTTGTGTCATTGCTTCCCCAAACTGTGTGATGAGCGTTTGCATCACCACCCATAATTATGGGTAGTGTTTTGTTTGTAGAGTAATCATAAAGAGCTCTGAATTCGCTCAAGATCACCTCCGAATCATGAACACTGTCCTTTAGTCTCGCAGCCGTTATGTCACGGGAGCTAAACTGTGGCATAAGTGTTATACTTAACCCTTTAGATGCAACAATACATGATCTAGGGGGCTGGTTTGTTTTTTTTAAATAAAAGAGACTCATCTTTTCATTGTTAAAGCCGCATATTTTGTTTTTAACAACCCAGGGCTCTTGAATCAAAAAGATGGAATTTTGTGAGGTTAGGTTACCACGAAAACAAAACGAGATTTTACAACGAATTTCCACAATTTTCTCACAAGGAACACTGAAAATGCGCTTGAATTACGATGAAAATCACGTATGAATATGTATTCGGCGGCCAGTTAGAACAAATTTTCACAAAAATCGGCGACGAAAAATGTGCACCTGTCACAACGGTACCGCAACACAAACGAATGATTTTAACAAAAATCACAATTAAAACACTCAAAACAATTAAACTTCAATTTATTTTGGTGAGTCGTCGTTGCTTTTATTAAAATAAGAGCAAATTTTAATTTATAAACAAGATTTCAATTAAAAAAAAAACAATTTTCACAAAATCTTAGATGAGCGAACACGAAAACGATGTTCACCTGTCAAACGTCAAAGACTAAAATTAAGATTTGTTACACATTTCTATGTTGTGAGGAGAAGACTCACTTTCATTCTCGGGCAATCATATGTTTAATTAGAATGCTTCATAAATATTCCTAAATATTAAACTGGTTCTAAATTTCCGTTCCGATAAATGTGTCACACGATTTTATTGTTGGACAAAATATTTTTCGATTCAGTTTTGAGTCGCGAAAAAATTGTGATACACTTTTATCGGAACGAAAATTCCGATACACTTACATTGGTACGATTTCGTTAAAGTCTCTTTTATTCTCAGCCAATCATATGGAATCAGTATTTTTATATGCGTAAAATCGGTGGTTTGTCCGCCGCAAAAAGAAATTTGACTTTTCGATAAACAGCGATGGAATTGCTGTGTCTCTGCAGTATTCCACCAAAAAGAAGGAGACCAGCAACACACAATCGGGCACCAGTCGATTGGACATCATTGACATGTTGAAGGCGGGCAAATTCAAAAGATTGGGAGGTACAGATTCAGGCATGCGGAACTGGAATACCACAACAATACATGACATTGATACTTGCAAAGAAGTATGTGTTGTATATGGGATGATGATGCATATTGTGCTTGAATTTACTAATTTTTTTTTTTTTATTTATTTGCAGATCAACTTTGTAAAAAAGAGCAAGCAGTTCCATTGGGAGACACATCAAAACGTTCGAAACGCAAAAGCGAAGCGATTTACAAAACATTTCATCGAGAAAGAAAGACAAGATCAAGAGAATCGTGAGCTGTACGCAATGATGCCATCACCAAAATGTTCACAGTGGCTGAGCTATATTAAGCATCGAGTTAAGATGACCAAACATGGAATCGAAGCTTACTCGACTGCAAAGAACACTAGACTCGCCTTGGAGAAATACATTAGGAGCAACAAAGCTATCGACGGATTTGTGAACAAGATCACCAATAAGGAACCGACTCTGTTATTCCATGGTGCTGATGACAAAGTACCACCTGATTGCCTGATAAGAATTAAAAAACACGTGCGGTGTCCGGGTGTACGCAAACTGATGCAGGCATATAAGAAGCGACCATACATTGTTGTCGTGCCGGTGGACGAATGGGGAACATCTCAAACAGACGCAAGATGTATGTGCCGATTCCAAAACCAAATCGACTGAATTCATGATGTATCGGTGCATGCCCAACGCCGCCATAACACTGCTGCCAACCAAAATTGTTTCTAAGTTTGGCAAGACAGATACATCTACATATCGACAATTACAACGCACATTGAACGGAGCATTTGAAATAGAAGAGGAGCTAATGTCAAGAGTAAAACCTTACTACAAAAAATGGCAATTAGACCTCGAATGCACCGTGACTTGGCATCGTGACGTCGTGGCTGCTAAGAACATTCTTCTGAAAGGTAAGGATATTGATACACAATGTGATTGAATGATCGCAAAATTCGAATAGCAGCCAACTAATCATCACAATACCATACAATAAAATAAAATAAATCATAAGTAACATTTGTTACGTAACTGCTATCCCGAATATGTGGGTTAGTTATGCACAAAAAAGTCATTTCCCATTTGGTTGAGATGGCTGTGCGGGAGTACAAACGGAGTGTTTTTCCATTGTAAGTATCATTAGATTTTGAAAACAGTTTTTTGCTTCGGGAAGTGCTAACATCAATTGCTTCGTTGTATAAATGCCATTAACTACCATAGAATTTTGCCTACTTTAAATTAATAAATACCATTTTTCTATTTACAGATAAGGGAAACACCCTAATTGTTTACCTCTTTCTATAATGAAACATACTGTAAATAAAGAACAACTACTTTTCATCATAATTATTCGCTATACAAACCTTTTCACATTTCATTCAGTCGATTTTTGAATATCAGTATCAATTGATTAAATTAGAAGATTTTGAATTTATAATATTATATATTTATTGAATAGATTTTAATATAATATCATAGTTTCCTCTCATTTCTCTCTCTTTTATATTTCTGTCCTTTATCTCATCGACATTTATGTTTAGTTTTGTTGAACAAAACTTAAAAAATTTGGATCAACCGATGCTACTTTGGCTGTCGAAATAAAACGAAAAACAATAACAATTATTCAAAATATTTTTTTTCTCTTCAAATCCTTACCATGATATCTATTTTTATGGTAATATATGAGTAGTGTGCGAAGTGTCTTTTTCGTGCCGAAGATGCATCCAATCATACTAATATGATGCATACATTATGCATACAAAAATATGCATACTGCTTGCATACATATATTGGTAATCGATGCATTTAATATGCATTAGTATATGTAACACCTACGAACGAAGGGGGGTCTAATAACCCCTTAACTCCCTTCGCACATTACTGTTGTATATATATACAATACCTGTCAAAAATGCATGCATACAGAACAGCAAACTTTGCAAACTTTGACATTCTATCTCCTGAAATATATTGTTGAAAACAAAGAACTCAATTCAAAATATGTTTCGTTATGTTTTACACAAAAAAAATCTTTTTCTTCGATTGGAAGACCTTCAACGGATGCTCAGGCATATGCATCCCTGCGACATGACAGTGTATTGCAAAAAGTGACATGGTGGCGCCATGTACAACATGGTGGTGAAAGAACAAATTTTCATGTAAGAGCATGTACGACCACATCATTGATGTTAGTTGTTATCAACTTGGATGAAATAATTTGTGGTCGCAAATGCAAAATGTGCGTGGTCGCAAAGAGTGATCATAAAATTTATCTATTTTCAAAAATAAAATGTTTACAATTAGAAAGATTCCTTGCGATTTCATTATTTTTGTATTTAAAATTTATTTCGTTTAAAAAAAAGTAGAAGAAAAAACAAATCGTCTATCACAGTGTGGTCGCAAATACGTTGTGTTGTCGCACATGCAAAGTTTGTTCTTTCACCACTATATTACAGGTACATGGCGCCACCATGTCACTTTTTTCATGTCGGGGGGATGGGCATATGTATAATTTAAATAATGTAATTATATGCAAAATCATAAATAAGTATATATAAAGGGTGTTTTTAGGGGTCGCTTTATTAATTTTCAAAAAAGCACTTATCAATTTTAATTTTCCTCATGAAAATGACTCAAATTGAGTCACTCAATCGTTTATTGTCACTATATGATAAATTGCGTTATCCTATTGAAACCAAAATAGATCCAGATTATGAATGGTAATATGAGTTGAATTTAACCAATATTTGAAGAATATTTATACAGTTTTAAATAGGAAATAGATCTCCCTAATAGCTTTTTTGAATTATTTAAAATTATTTTTGAATTATTGGGTGTATGCATTAATTTCCGGACTCAGACATCAGATGTCACCACTTGCTTGTGCGTTGTAGTAGATCAATATTTTTTTTTTCAACCATGGAAAATTTTGAAAATTGGAGAAAGCGACAGCATTTGCGGGAAGTTTTATTAAGCCATTTTTTTGCAAAGAAAACTGCAGCTGAAAGTCATCGTTTGCTTGGCAAATTGTATGGCAAACATTCTCCATCACGTACACAATGTTTCGATTGGTTTCAACGCTTCGAAAGTGGTGATTTTGATGTGCGTGACAAAGAACGACCAGATCAGCCAAAAAAGTTTGAAGATGCGGAGTTGCAAGCATTACTCGATGAAAATGCATGTCAAACGCAAAAAGAACTTGCATTGGAATTAAATTCCGACCAAGCAACCATTTGCAGACGTTTGCATGCAATGGGAAAGATTCGACAGTTAGGAAAATGGGTACCACATCAACTGACTGAAAATCAACTCAAAGCACGAATCACAGCATGCAGAGAATATCTCAAAGAACACAAAAAACATAGTTTTTTGAGTCGAATTGTCACGGGCGATGAAAAGTGGGTCTATTACGACAACCTCAAACGTAAAGGAGCGTATGTTGATCCAGGCCAACCAGGACCATCGCAGTCAAAACGAGACATTCATTGCAAGAAGGTCATGCTGTGCATTTGGTGGGATCAAAAAGGTGTCGTGTATTATGAGCTGCCAAAACCAGGTGAAACGGTTACAGCCCAACGCTACCGCATGCAATTAATCAAAATGGAGCATACATTGAAGATTAAACGGCCACGAATAGCGTCTAAACAAGACAAAGTTGTGTTTCACGATGATAATTCCAGGCCACATCGAGCAGACATCGTTAGAAAAAAGTACAAGAATTCGGTTGGGATCGGCTTGATGAACCCGCGTTGACTCTCCAGACCTTGCTCCTTCTGACTACCACTTGTTTCGATCGATGCAAATGGGTTTGTCCGAGATATCGTTTCGAAATCCTGAAGGAGTGCGAAAATGGATCGATGAATGGATAGCCTCAAAAGATGAGGAATTCTTTCGACGCGGAATCGACAAGCTACCAAGAAGATGGGCGGAAGTTATAGCTAACGATGGGCAATACATTGGTTAATGTACTCATTCTTATTGTTATTAAATAAAGTTTGTTTTTCACCAAAAAAATCCGGAAATTAATGCATACACCCAATATATTTATTTCATTAAATGAACAACCAGGCGAAGAAACGCGTTCATTATAGAAATTGATGGGTTACATCAGGGAAAATATCAAAATGTAACTTTTTGTCCATTAAACTGTCATTTTTTGAGTTGTAATAGGATCTCCACGAGCTTTATAAAATAGCACGAATAAAATAAAAGTCTATATGTGTCCGTTAGAATAAATATGGCAATACAAAAACGGAATCTGAAGAACGTTACATTTTTTACTTTTCCGCACACACCTAGTGTGTAAGGTAAAGTATTGGAATCGGTCGAAAAATTAACACCCTCAAAAAACATGTTTTCTGGGTGTTTTAGGACCCAGGGAAGACGAATCTAGCGTTTTTTCGATGTCCGAATGTATGTGCGTGGTACCCTGTACGCTGTACGCTGTACCCTGTACGCAAAAATTTGTTAACACGATAACTTTCAAACCAGAAAAGTAATTCAAAATCTGACTTCACAGGATGATTGGGGGTGCCGAGGAATAGAAACCATTAGATTTTGAGCGACTTTGGTTGATAGAGTAACGTGTCATGTCTGGTGTGATGCCCATGGCCATCCATGGGAAAAATTCAATTTTCCCCCCAAAAGTGATATTTAATGTATTCTTAAACATCCAAAAATATGTATTGGGGGGTTTTTGGGTACGAG